ACAGGCAGGTATAAATTAAACATATAAGCTTCCCTTACCTGGATAGCAGTGTACGCCCTAATGCAAAAGTTGGGTTTGTCTCTTACAGTGTTCTACCCTCAGTTTCACTAACACTTTCACTTGATCTAAACATCAAAATCAGAGATGGCTCAGATATAGTCCATGCATGAACCGAGAGTATGGTTTCGCATGAAACCCTAATGGACAACTACTAGAGAAGGAAACTTACCAGCTTGTATTCCAATACTGTTCGGTTCAAAAGGAAGATCACAGCTGGACGAACACTCCTATGGTGCTGCAAACGTGATCGGAGAAGAGGTGTGAGATTTACAGTAGAGAGAAGTTAAGGGTTTTTAGAGAGAAGTTGGAGGAGATGAAGGGTTGAGTTTCGTGAGGAAGAAGGTGAGTGATGCAGGAGAGAGAGTTTCCAAAAATCCAGTTTTGTTTAAACTCACGTTCATTTGAACGAACGTCTCCCAAACTGACACCTGTACACCAAACTCTAAACTAGAAACTTCTCCCGCGACAGGTGGAGTGTGTGCATGTGGTGATTGGTGCGTTTTTAATGCCCTGGGAAAATGATGGGCGTGTCTTTCAAGGCACGGCAGAGTGGATAAAAAGGAATTAAATTCTGATTTGACATGTATTTCAGAGTTTAATTATTTAGAGTCTCACATATTGCATTCGAATTTAACCCCTACTCAGAAATATTTTAGGTGGAAGAAAGAAAAAAGAATTAGAAGGAAATTAACTCCGATAACGTGTAATCCGAACAATCCATATCAACAAGTCCGATAAATTAAATGATAAATTATAAAAATTAAACTAAATTAGAGATTATTAAGAAAAGAATTTGAAGGAAATTGAAGAGAAAAGAAAGAAGGAGACATAGTGAAAATAATAATAATAATAAAAAAAAAACAGAGTGGAAGAAGCACAGTCTCTAGGGTTTATACAGCACGAAACGGACAAGCGGCGAGATATTCGGAGCGGAGAAGCAAAAGAGAAACAGAGTTTAATTTCCTTCAAAAAATTTGAGCGGGAATTGAATTGACAGTTTCGTGATGAAATCGAACACAGAAACCCTTGCAAGGCCAAAACGCCGCCGTCAACGACCCAAATCATGGCCTATTACATTCTCCCCTTTCGCTCGCTCTCTCGCTCGCATGCATTCTCTACACGCGCCCAAGCGACGCTCTCAAAACCCTAACCCCACTCGCCCTGTTATGAAACCCCAATCGTCGCAGTCTTCTCACCATCATTTGGATGTAAGACTTCTCATCCCAATCCTAACGTGTTTCTTATGGATATAATGTTTCTAATTCAACATTGAACTGGTAAGATTAATCGGAACAATGCACGTGTTGTTTAAGGGAGTTGTGGGAGAAGATTTTTCCAAACCCGAACATTCCGAGTCTTCAGGCGAGGATTCTGATGTAAGGCCTTTTACCTATTGCTATTTTTTTTTTCATTAAAAGCTGTTTCTAATTCAACATTGGATTACTGAGATCAAGGTTTGCAGTGGCGGACACTCCAAACACTTTGAAGTTGTGGCTGAAAAAAAATGGTCACGGAGCATTTTTTAAAACCTGGACTGAGTTTAATTGAAATAGTTGTGTTGTTATAGGGAATTGTCCAAGCCGATTTTTCATTTTTCGATCCCAAACCTGATGATTTTCATGGAGTGAAGACCTTGTTGCAAAACTATCTTTACAATGAAGAATGGGATTTGAGTGACTTTGTAGAGTTGATTTTGGAGCAGACCACCGTTGGGACTGTTGTTAAGATAGAGGATGATGAGGATGAAGGAATCTTTGCTCTTGTTACTGCCCTTAATTTCTATAGATACCGGGTAACTGGCCTTCTCTTATGCCTCAAACTTGCTATGCTTTGTGACTGGTTTAGCAAACAGCATCAACTTTCTAACTGGTTGTAAATACTTTTGCTAGGAGCATAGATGCATTGTGACACTCAAGGATTTTCTTCTCCATAAAGCTCACCAAGAGAAGGGTGTCGTTGACAAGTTGAGATTGCTTTTGGTGGAGCAAGAACGCGATGTAGCTCTCCTGGTATCTCAGCGCATGGTGAACCTTCCTCCCCAGCTTTTGCCACCACTTTATGATGCCCTTTTTGATGAAGTTTTGTGGGCCACAGAAGATGAGGTTAGATGTCAGTAGTATCACATTGGTGAGGTGTTACTGCGTGTTTCTTTTTGACAGTAGAGAGGGTTTTCCTAGTTAGAACTTAAATTGTCGTGTTTTGTATTTTACAGCCAACTGAGGAGCTCCGAAATTCCTTCAAGTTTAAGCATTACATAATACTTAGCAAAGTTTATGTGGTATGTATGATGCTGTAGAATCACCCTTTTTCGTGTGTGGCTTATGTTAAGATGTTTTCTTATGCTCCAACTTCATTGTTCCCTAACATTTTACTTATCTTTGGGTGTCAAAATATAGCTCAAGAAGGCAGCACAGAATGATAGTGAGGAGAGAATAATTTATTTAAATCTTGAGGATGAAATATTGCATAAGGTATTGATATTTTTGGGCATCATTTTGTGTTATTTTGTTTCTGATTGATTACTGATTATTTTCCTGATAATATCCAGTTAAGTTCGTGGTCCTTCTACTTTCCATTGCAAAGTCAGCAGCTTGCACCTCATGAGGCAAGTTTTATGTTTCTTTAATCTTAATTATCATTTTTATGTTCATAGTTCTTATTAATATGCTGAAAGTTACTTATTTTTTAACTTTTTAATGTGACCTATAATACATCTACGATTTCCTTGGCAAGGTGGTCTTTTTTCGTGGTTGTGATGTTTACATAAATGGAGTAACATGCACAATACAGATTAGTGAAATTAAGTTAGTTTTGTGTTATCGAGGTAGTATAAGTTAGCCAAACCAAAGTGAAATTTGAGCCTAATTCAGCCTCACATAAGTAGCTTAGTAGGGTGAGGTCCATCATATGTTGAGGACAAGACATCTCGAGCACGATACTTGGAGAACCGATAATAGGTGACATTGTAGACCCAACAAACTTGATTAGGATAGATTTTGAATGACTTTGAAACCATTGAGGAAGTAAGATTTAAGCCTAACTTACATCACACAATCGTCTTATTAAGAGATTTGTATTCATCTATATATTATAATTAGGTTGTATATGTTTTTCTGTTAGAGTCTCCTAGCTATTGATTTATTAATAAGTACTCCATGGGTATGGGTTATAGCACTTATTAGCAAGACCCACCTATACCTGGGAAAGTTCCAATTGGTGTGAAAGGAGGAGGAGATGGTTATGTTAATTTTTCAGTTGGAATAATATGCTGAGTTTTTTTATCGGATGACTCCATAACAAACATGGGTGAGTTGGAGGATGGAATTAGGTAAGACTTGTTTAAGAGAATTGGGATCAAAGAATGTGACATCAACAAACGTGTAGCGTATCATCTAATATTCAGAGAAGAACATCAATACCCCTTTTTAAGATGTGAGTATTCAAGGAAAACAAATTTGATGACCCTTGAAGAAAGTTTGTCCACACTAAGAGAAGCACGAATAACAAAACAAGTTCAGCCAAAGACACAACTTAGATGTGACACAACTTAGATTCCAAATGTCCCAATGAATGATGCGACATAACTTTACTATGGACAAGAGGATTAAGCTTTGTTTTCTTAATTGACATGACTTGATCAATCTAATACTTGTAAGTTGTTGAGTCGAAGACCATTTTTTAAAGCTTTAACCAATTGGATAACCTAAGAATCATGAAGAAGCTTAGGAGACGATGTTGCAAAACAAGAAACAAAAGAAATTTTTTCTAAAGAATGGAGGCCACATGATTCATGTCCTATGCCAATAAGACAACTCGAACCACTTTTTTTTTATAACAAAAAGAATTAGCATCAAATGTGACAAAACAAGTTAATGGTTTAGTCAGAGACAAGAGTGGAAGGACAAATAGAAATAAAGGCAACAAACTTCCAAGTTTAGGGAAGGAGATGGAAAGACTTGGCCAACTCCTTTGTTGGAGGCAATCTTAGATCCGTTTGCTAAGGTAATTAGGAAACGTAGGCTGTTGAAAGATCACGGGTTGAAGATGTTTGGCCTTAGATTGGGAAACGCATGCCTATTGTAATAACACATACTGGCACATTGAATATCTCGTTGTGTCTAAAAGTTTGTTTCATGTCTGTTTTTCTTTGATTGTTATGAGGATCCTAGTTCTTACACAGCAAGATTGGATGTTAAGAAAAAGACTACTGTTATAAGTTGTTATCTAAAGTGTAGTTAACTTGGTTTAACAGCCAAAGTAATAATGTCAAATTGAATTTTCTTTTCAATACCAATGGATATGATTCATTGGCTCATTTCTCTTCGCTGCTCCATTATTAGCACGGGAGTAAGTGGGCTATAAAATAGAACTTTACATTTTAATTTGTTCACTTTTAATTTTGAATAAGGCTTTACATTACATTCAAGGTTTAGATGGGACTAAAAATTTAAAACTATTAACGGGGAAGGCACGCAACTGTTTTTAATTCATTTTAAGGTGTAATGCAATAATTCTGAGTTTTGTCAGTGTCTTGCTAAATTTTGATATGGTCGAAGTGAATAGCAGTTTCTCTTATCAACTATATTCTGAACGATAAACTCTTTTTCTGCTTGCTACAGCTTAGGAATTACAGGTCAATGGGATTAATCATGGCTGTTGAAGCAGACAAAATCCCAAAATTTCGTCAAGAATTAGCTTCTCTAATAAATGAAAAATGAAGCCATGTAGAAGCTTCCTGAAGAATTAGCTTTCTTGAACATGCATTTCAACTTATATATTGCAAGGGTTTGAGCTGCCAAATTTTGAAATTTGCTTTTCATTATTAATTACCCTTTTGTTCTGGAATGATTGTCGTCTAGATACTGATGACAACTTCCCCCCAGCTTTTATGGTAAGCGACCCAGCAAAATAGTGTGTTCTCCATTGCAATGACTATGAATACCATTTAGAATTAGTACGAAGCTGACTGTGAATGTTAGTGACAATTTTGATTAAAAGAAAGAAAAAAAATGGTTGAAAGCAACTTAAACTCTCGAATACTATTCTATAGAAACTTATATAGGCACACGCACACAATTTTGTTTACGTCCTAGTCATCATGAAACTGGTTTCTAGTTGTGGTAAAATAGTACAACATGAATGCTATAATAAGTTGAACTTAACACTGAAATCCTTATAAATTTATACTTATTATTAAGCTATAAAATTTAGTTATTCTAAAATCGACAAAATGCTAATATAATAGCGTTTATTTAGAGTATAATGTATAATTAAAATGAAATTAATAATTAAAAATGATCTACGTAGTTTACAATGTTTCAGATGTTTTAAATAACTTCCTGTGTTAGAGGATTGCTAGTTAAAAGATACTATAGAAAGAGGAGATTTTAACGATCTTACATGAGATAAAATATTATAAATTACTAAAATATTAAAATAAATCTGTCTTAGATGATATTATAAAAGGATTTTCATTTACAAAGCATATTTCTATTGCTGTTCACAAAGACGGCTATGTAGCTGTACTTTAATTTGCTTTAAGATTTAGTTGTATAGTTATAAAATAAAACACAAAAAATAACTATTTGAAAATAAATCAATCTCATTATATAATTTCAATTAAATTTACAAATCATGGTATCATTATAATCCATACACGAATTAAGAAACACCACTAATCATTCCATCCAAATTCTAATATTAGATACTTTTTTGGAAGATTTTTATTGAGTATTACTGACGGAACATGATTGGAAATATAATATTGATTAGATATAAGATTAATTAAAATATTTAAATGAGTTATAAATCTTAAGTTAAAAGTATAATATTGATTAGATATAAGATTAATTTAAAATATTTAAATGGCATAAAAAAATTTATATTGTAAGTTTGTTTTGTGAAATTAAATTAAATTTAAAATACATTTCGAATTTCATTTAATATTATTTTTTCTTTACATTTTTTTTTAAATTCAAAAATTCTTTCTTTTGTAACCATTACTGTAATGTGTCAAATAAATATAATGTGTTAAAAATGGGTTAAATTATTTTTTCTTCATTTAAAACTAACACATATAAAATAATTAAATATTTATTAAATTAAAATTAATAGTATATCTTATCTTTATATTTATAATAATGATTTTATATTTTCTTTTATTTCTTTTTTATTTAATGTAATCCTTATATTTTTTATTCAAAAAAGACTTAATGTGATTAGATGGTTAACGAAAGGAAAAT